CAGTGGGAAATTGAAAAGCAAATTCTTAAGTATATCTCAGTCATCGGCAAGAACAATAGGGTGATCATGGTGGAGGATTTTAACTTTCCAAATATAGACTGAGACTGCCTTAGTATTAAGGGATCGGATAGAAAGGAATCTTTTTGTGTGTGCGCAAGAACATTTACATATTCAGTGTGTGGATTTGCCTCCAGAAGAAGGTAAAACACAAGACCTACTCTTGGGAAATAAGGCAGGGAAAGTGACTAAGTTGTCAGTTGGGGAACAATTTAGGACCAAAAATCATGATTCTATTAATTTTAAAACAGTTATGGAAAAGGATAGACCTGATCTAAAAGATAAAGTTCTACATTTCAGCGAGGTCAATTGGAACGGTATTTGCCATGAACTTTCAAAAGTTGATTGGGGATGGATATTCGCAGGTAAACTGACGGCTTGTAATGGGAAATCTTCAAGAATTATATAACGAGACTCCAGAGACATGTATGTTTTGTTTGGGTGAAAGGCAAGGATGATTGGTGTAGGGAATGCTGGATGACTAGAGAAATTGAGGTTCTGATCTAGAAAGAGAAGGAAACATATGTCAGGGATAGATAATAGGGATCGAGTGAATCTGAGAGGAGTATAAGGGCAGTTGGAGTATACTTCAGAAGGAGATCAGGAGGGTAAAAAGGGGACATGGGATCGCTTTAGTAAATAGGGTTCAGGAGAAGCCAAGGATTTCTGCAAATATATTAAAGAAAAAACAGTAAATAAGGAAAGACTAGGGACCCTTAAAGAGTAGCAAGGTCACCTACGTGTAAAGATGAGTCAGTTCCGAAATGAGCAATTTGCATCAGTGCTTTCTGTTGAAAAGCGAATGAGCCCTAGGGAACTTGGGGAAATTGATTGCGATAACCTTGAAAAGTGTCCATGTTACAGAGAAGGGGGTTCTGGCCTCTTATAATGCAAAAAAAGATGAATAAATCCCTGGGATCTGATCAGGTATATCCTGGACATTTGTGGGAACCAATGGAAGTGATTGAATGGCCCCTTGCTGAGATATTTGTAACATCGATAGCCACCAGTGAGGTGCTGGAAGACTGGAAGTTGGCTAACGTGGTGCCACTATTTAAGAAAGGTGGTCAGTGAAAGCGAGGTAACTCTTGACTGGTACGCATGACATCAGTGATGGACAACCTTTGGGAGGAGATTCTCAAGGTCAACATTTACTTAAATTCATAAAGGGAAGGACTGATTGGAGATAGTCAACATGACTTTGTGCTTGAGAAATCGTGTCTCACTAACTTCATTGAGTTTTTTGAAGAAGTGACGAGAAGGATTGATGAAGGCAGAGTGGTGGATGTTTTCTATATAGACTTCCCTAAGGCGTTCGAAAAGGTTCCGTATGGTAGACTGGTTAGCAATGTTACATCACATGGAATACCGGGAGAATTAACACTTTGAAAACAAAATTGGCTCAAAGGTAGAAGACAAATCACGGTGATGGAGGATTGCTTATCAGCCTGGAGACCTGTGGCCAGCGGTGTGCCACAAGGCTCAGTGCTGGTTCCACTGTTTGATTTTGTCAATCTATAAATTATTTCAATGTTAATGCAATAGGTATGGTTGGTAAGTTTGCATTTGACATTAAAATTGGTGATGTTGTGAACAATGAAGAAAGTTACCTCAGAGTAAAACGGGACCGTGATCAGATGGGCTGATGGGCCGAGGAGTGGCAGTTTAATTTAAATAAACATGACGTGCTACTTTTGGTAGGGCAAATAAGGGCAGCACTTGGTAAGGTCCTGGGTGGTGTTGCCGAACAAAGATACCTTGGAGTGCAGGTTCATAGTTCCCTGAGAGTGGAGTCGCAAGTCGACAGGATAGTGAAGGAGACGTTTGCTATGCTTTCGTTTACTGAGGAGTTGGGAGGTCATATTGTAGCTGTAAAGGACATTGGTTAGGCCATGGTTGGAATACTGCATTCAATTCTTTCTGCCTGCTGCAAGAAGGATGTTGTTAAACTTAAAACCGTTCAGAACAGATTTACTAGGATATTGCTGGGACTGGAGGGCCTGAGCTATATGGAGAGGCCGAATAAGTTGTGGCTATTTTCCCAAGAGAATCAGAGGCTGAGATGTGACCTTATAGAAGGTTATAAAATCATGAGGGGCATAGACAGGGTGAATTGTCAAGGTCTTTTTCCCAGGGTAGGAGCGTTCAAAACTAGAGGGCATAGTTTTAAGGCAAGGGGGAAAAGATTCAAAAATAACTTAAGGGGCAAATTTTTAATGCAGACGGTGGTGCATTTATGGAATAATTTGCCAGAGGAAGTGATGGAGGCTGGTACCATAACAGCATTTAAAAGGCATTTGGATGGGTAGATGAATAAGAAGGGCTTATAGGGATATGAGTCAAATGCTGGCGAATGGGACGAGATTAACTTAGGATATCTAGACATCATGAATGAGTTGGACAGAAGGGTTTGTTTCTGTGTGGACATTTCTATATCTTTATGACTCCTCGCTATCCCGTTTTAAACACTTTCAGTCACAATAGCTACTTTCTATTCTGCAAGATCCTTTCCAGAGTCGTAGGAGCTCTGAAGAACTTGGACCTTCCTCATTATTCAGCGAGGTTTCTCATCGAAAAATGAAATTTACAGTGCAGAAGGAGGCCTTAGACCCATTGTGTCTGTACCAGCTTCCGAAAGAACTATACAGCAAGCTCAATTCTCCAGGTTTATCTCCGTTGCCCTATAAAATTCATCACGCATCTGGTGCAGCGACTTGCCAACCATCAACAAAATGAGAGTTTTGAGTACTTCCTCTTTATTCTGATTTCCAGCAGTTGCTCATTTTCATCAGTCATCCTGTTCCCTCATATTTCTGCAAGATTTGCTGTTCCTCCCTTCACGGAGATAGAACATCGTATTCACCCAGCTGGACAGATCTGGCCTCTGTCACCTTGTGATTATATCAGAGGATATCACTAAGGCACATGATGGATTTGTCACCGTCTCCTGCACGAAAAGTTCTAAAATCAAACATGATTACTTGATGGCTATTGTCAGCACTTTCCTCCCCCTGGTGCATACATGGCACACTCACGCAGTGTTGAAAATGCTTTCCTCTCCTCAGTTTCCTTCCCTGGCTGAAAAACCATTACATCCTTGCACAGTCCCAGTGACCTGATCTATTAATGGGTCCGCTCTTCATAGAAGCAGTTGATAATGTAACTGTACAATTTTCTGCACCACAGTCACGATAACAGCAACAACACTGTTGCTGGTGGAGTTCATTGGGGATGCTGCTGAAGCTATGGCCGAGTGGTATTATTTCTAAACTATTAATCCAGGGACCCAGGTAATGATCCACACCCCGATTCAAATCCCGCCATGGCACATGGTGGAATTTGACTTCAATAAAATATCTAGAATGATGAAACTATGAAGCCATTGTAAATCGTCACAAAAACCCACCTGGCTCCCTAATGTTCTTTAGGGAAGGAAATCTGCCATTTTCACCTGGTCAGGCTCCAGACCCAGCAATGTGGTTGACTCTCAACTACCTTTTGAAATGACAAAGCCAGCCACTCAGTTATATCAATCACTACAAAGTCTCAAAGAAATTAAACAGGACATACCTACGTATCGGCAATTCACAGCACGTGGAACGCAGTGTTCAAGAAAGCAGCTCACAAACACCCTCTCAAGGACCGCTAGGAAAGGGAAATAAATGCTGGCCCAGCCAGACACATCCACATCCCATTTATGAATAAATGAAGATGACCACATTCAGGGGAGACAGACTGAGGGGGCATTCCTTATTTAAAACAGGGACTTGGATATATATCTACATGGGCATGATACTCAGGAAAATGGAAAAAGGAGAAAAAATGTAATTAATCTCACATTTTATTTCCATCCCAGCTGATCATCAACAATCCCTTTGTTTGCTTCTTTTTCTCTAGCTATGTCTTTCTGCATTTATTCAACTCATTCATTCTCCTCTTCAAAACAAACATCCCTGTCACCAGCATAAATTACAATATTTGCCAGCTTCTTTCAGTTCTGATGTACGGTCAATGGACTCGAAATGCTAACTCTGTTTTTATTTCGACAGAGCTTGCCAAACCTGCTCAGTTTCCTCAGTATTTTGTTTCGTTTGTTTTCAGATCTGCAGCATATTTCTTTGTTTGATTTAACCGTGAATTTTGTTATTTCATTGGATGTCGACATCGTTAGCAAGGGCAGAATTTTTTAACCATCATTAATTGCCCTTGATTGTGACCATTCCATAAGGCAGTTTGGAGCCAAATGCATTATTGTGGGTCTGAATTCACAATTAACCCAGACCAGGTAATAAAGTTAGATGCCTTTACCAGAGGACATCAGTGAAATGAGACAGGTTTTGAGACAAAATGCTGCTGGTTTTATGGTTGCTATGAGTGAAATTCGCTTTGGTTAGAATTCTTATCATTAGTATTTAAGTTCTGCCACCAGCTGTGGTCGGAATTGAAAGAGTATCTTTAGCTAATAACCTGTGCCTCTGAATTACCTGCCCAGCGACTCAACTACTCTTACATGATGTCCCTGTCATGAAGTAACTTTAGAGAAAAGAAAAAGGGTGTGATCAAAATATTTGTAACTGGAAGAGAGGCTAGAAGAGAGCTGGAACCATAAATTACGAATTTTGCCAAGGCATAGATCATAGTTTATTCAGCAACAGAACAAAGGCAGAGGTAGAGAGTGGGTATATTATGGAGCTGGTATTGGACAGGTTTGGTAACTGAGACAATCGTGACACATAAACCAAGAAACGCTCTCAATGTTGTGAACAGTCCTGTTCTCAGATGTTTCTGAGAGACAAGTCTCAAATTCATGGATAGTGAAGGGAGGTTTTCATTAAAACTGAAGGTAATAGTTTCCATCTTTACCAAATATAGGTGACAGAAATAGCAATAGAGTTGAATTTGCCTTATGGAAGTAATAAATGGGCAGAGGCAGAGGCACTTACCAGGAACACCAACAATAGCGAGAATAGGATAGTAACCAGCCTGAATAATCATCAGTACAGCTTCTATCCGAACTGGTAATGTTGACCAACGCCAGGTAAGATAGAAAAGACCCGAGGATAAACTCCTGTCCATTGTTGTAACGTTCCAGTCTATTGCTCTCAGATTCTGATCTCTCCGCCCCATCTCTCTGCAGCTGCTGATCCCTGTTAGTGCTGTAGCTGATGCTCCCGCTTATATTATGGGATAACACACTTAATGGAGCCCCTTAGTAATAGGAGAGAGAAAGCCTCCTGTGACACAGGATCCATGGATACTGACATCAATCACAGTCACTGAACAAGCAGTTTCAGTTAACCCGTTTCAATATAGCACCTTCAGTTCACAATAATAACTGGACTGGATTGGATGTTAACATTGTTGGCTGTTGGTCGAACATCCCATCGCCCTTTGCCCTAACAAAGTCTTTGGTTCGGGAGAATGATGGATGTTTTCTTTTTTCCAGGCGAGATGGTTCTGCTGAGTTGTCCATGTACAATGTTGTCACCACCTGCACCAACACCACCCAAAAAACAATCAAAATGTTGTGACTGTGGTGCTCACTCCTCCACAATCAAAAGATCGTCGCTGGGCACAGTTGCCCTGACCATGCAGAGGAAGTGTGTATTTGTCTGGATGTTCCTCTCACTGCTGTCATAAAGCAACTTTGTATCTTCAACACTCAATGTTCTTCATTGCAGGTTTTGTGCTTTAATTTTTTTTTTTTTTACATTTTTTGGTTCAGTTTAAACCCAAACGTGGACTTTACAATGACGTTGTTCATTAAAGCCCATAGATTAACGAGTCAGGGACAGAATGAATATGACATCAGCTTGGAGACAGAGCGGAATGGGGGCAGTGGCTGCGGAGACTGGAGAGGAGTAGAGTGATAACCCGATGTCACTCGTATTCGACCAACACTTATTCCAGCAGACAGAATGAAATGTAATACAAAGCAAGGAAACAGGTTATATTTTGGAAATTGAATGCCAAACAACAATGTGAACACAACTTGAAAATTTTAAATGTAATGTAGGGAATTATATATGATGTATACACTGATTAATCGTGGGATATGCAGATTAATAAGATTGTTCATATCTGCATAGGATATTCAAAATTAAAAGCAGGCAAAGGTTTCAAAATGTTTGGGTTATAGGGAGATTACGGGATAATAACAGTAGGGATATAGATCATCACCAGCAGGTGCAGAGATGATATGCCAAGTGACCACCACCTTTGCTGGAATTATTCTGAGACATGTACGAAAAGTTTTCGGACCCTGAGGGGACAAGCTTTGTCATTGAAGGACACAGATTGTGCCGTCATGAATAATCTATTTCTGTTGTCTCATGAAGTGTAGATATCTCTAAAATGTAGTTTCAATCAAAGTAGATTTCCTGAAAATTATGCATTTAAGACGGTATGAGCAAAAGTTTTTTTTTTGGGAACTTAAGGAAGAAACAGACTCTGGTTTAATACAGGTATAACTGGCACAACAGCTGTAATGGAAACAGGAATGGTCTATATTGTCCAAATGTAACCAACATCTGGACCCGTCAAGAAAAGCAAAATGTTAGAGATTATGGAAATCTGTAATACCAACAGAAATTGGTGGAGAAACGCAATAGATGAGGCGACATCTGGAGACAAATTTAGAATTACCATATCGAGTCTGACAGGAAGCTTTTCTGAAAATGTCATATTGGACTCACAAAGTTAATTCTGTTTCTCTCTGTTCAGATGCTGCTAGACCCGATAATTTTTAATCCAGCATTTCTTTTTATTTTCCTTTTGGTCGCAACTTGTCTGATCTGAACCGGAACAGTGAAGCTGCTATTTGAGTTGGCTCTCAAGTATTTGGTAATGGCCATTAAATGAGACATTGCAAAGTTTCTGTATAAATGATCCTTAATATCAATGGCGTATTGCATTGTGATAAATTGCCATAAAAAGTTTGAACTCAGTGGCACTGATGTCGCATGATTAATCCTCTGAAAATAACTGATGGAAAATGATGGGGATCGTTACCTCAATGTCATGCTGTGCTCCTGATGTCGCTGGGGTTTCACTCATCTAGCAAGGTCTTACCTCTTTGAGACTTTAGACTAAACTATAAAAACATAAATTATCTTGATATTTTAAATAGGACACATTCATCCATGGGGTTTAGCCGGCACTAGCGAGGGCAGACTTTATTTGCACCTGGAGAAGGTGACACAGAGCTGCCTTCCTGAAACTTTTCTAATTCAAGTGGTGCAGATGTATGCGCAGAGCTGTTTGTAAGGTGATTCCAAGATTTTTTTTATCATATTATAGTGAAGGAACAACAATTTACTTCCTATCCAGGATGACATGTGACTTGAATGACAACTTGCAGAGATTGGGTTCCCCATTGCTCAACTGAGAACATTACCAGCGCAGGATTCTCTTCAATTCCCATTGATGACATTTCTGTTCAGGGTCCTTGATGCTGCAATGAGTCAAGTACGACTGGTGGCATGGGAAGTTACTCTGATCTCACTTCAAATGACGTTGGAACATCAGCTGAAACAATAAAGAGTGAAAGTACAGAACACAGTCTGTTTGAACAATATGCTCACTGGCCTCACAATATTCCAATGAAATTTTAGGTATGGACTTCCGATTCTGTCAGGAGACATTTGTCCTATTCTTGATGAGGCAATTTGGTTAAATACCCGCTCAGAGAGACAGAAAGAAGCTTTACTCTGTACCATTGGGAATAGAACTAACCCATTTCCAGTGCATCAGACAGTGGTAAACACACACTACTATCTGCTCCTATTGGGCATTGATCATTTCAACCTCATCATTCACTGATAACCAATAGCAACATGGAAATAGCTTCCATCATCCTAGTTGGAGGACAAAAAGTGAAAGGGTGGGATGGTGAAGTGCGAGAAACTAGGGAAGTGGTGTGACATACAGTGTGGGTGGTAGAAGAGGAGTGTGAAGAGAGATGGTCAGTTGAAGGGGACGGAGCAGCAGAAGGGGCAGTGCAAGGGAAACAGAAGTGTAAGGAAGGAGCAGGAAGAGTGAAAAACCTCTGAAGGGTTCACCAGACACAAAAATTTACCTCTGAATATTTTCTTCACAGATGCTGCTAGACCTGCTGAGCTTTTCCAGCACCTTCTGTTTTTGTAGCCAGTCCTCTGCTGTGAGAAACAATCCCTGATACACTCTATTAATTGTTCTTCGAGGCAGACCTTGCCAAATTGATTAATCCAGTCAATGTGCACATACAAACCGCCCATAATTACCATTGTGCCTTTCCCCCAGCCCTCATTATTTCTGGGTTTATACTATGACCTTATACTTTGGAAACACTGTGGGGTTGGGCTGAAAATTAGTCCTACCAAGCGGTTTCTTCCCTTACGTTTCAATTCCATCCGGACTGATGTATCATTTTGGTCCTTCATGCCAATATCATTTCCTTATACAGCCTTGATATCATCCTTAAGTAATAGAGCAACACCACTTCCTGCTCCTTTTTGTCTACGTTTTCGGAATACTGAGTACCCATGGGCATTTAACTGCACAACTTTAACCTTCCTCTAACCATGTTTCAGTAATCCCCACCAAGTCATACCGATTGATATATCTTTGTACTGTCAGCTCATCAATTTATTCCAAATGCTGTGTATTCAGGTACAAGGCTTTTTTTAAAAAAAAATAAGTTCTATTGATTTGCGTTTCTCTTTTAATACTTCCTTGTGCAAGGTGCTTTCTACACTCTCCATCTTTATTTATTAATTCCTGATAATACTGAGCCTGATCTCTATAGTTTATTCCAACTCCAAAGTGTTTCTGTACTGTAACTTCAGTCACTTTGTCTGCCTTATTATCCAAGAGAAGGTCAAAGCTTGCTCCTTTTCTAGTAGGAACATTTACAATTATATAGCATGTAAACAGTCCAACCAGTCCATGCCAAACATAATCCCAAACAAAACTAGTCCCAACTGTTTACTCCTGGCCCATATCCCTTCAAACCTTTCCTATTCATGTACTTAGCCAAATATCTTTTAAATGTTGTAATTGTGCCCACATCCACCACTTCCTCAGGAAGTTCATGCAAATCACCCTCTTTCTGAGAAAATTCCCCTCATGTATTTTTAAAATGTCTCTCCTCTCACCTTAAAAATACGTCGCTGAGTCTTGAAATCCCCCATCCGAGGGAAAAGACAATATCATTAACCTTATCTATACCCTCGTTATTTTATAAACTTCTATCAGATTGCTTCTTAACCACCTACATTCCAGTGAAAGAAGTCCCAGCCTATCCAGCTTTTCTTTGTAACTCAAGCCTTCCATACCTGGCATCATCCTGATAGATCTCTTCTGAACCTTCTCCAGCTTAAAAATATCCTTCCCATAACCGGGCAACTGGAATTGAACACAGTATTCAAGAAGTGTTCTCCCAACTGTCCTGTACAACCTCAACAAAATATTCCAACTCCTATATTCGAAGGATTGAGCAATGAAAGAAAGTGTGCCCAATCCTTTTTTAACCACCCTATTTATATGTGAAACAAACGTCAAAGCATTATGTCCCTGCGCTCCGAGGCTCCTCTGTTCTACAATACTACCCAAGGCTCTACCATTAATTGTATAAGCCGTACCCTTGTTTGTTGTACAAAAATGCAATATCTCACATTTATCCAGATCGAACTCCATCTGCCATTTTTCAGCGCATTGACCCATTTGATCAAGACCCCTTTGTAATCGTAGAAAAAACTTCTTCAATGTCTACTATGCCACCAATTTTGGTGTCGTCCACAAACTTAGTAGCCTTCTATATTCTCATCCACATAATTTATAGAAATGACAGACAACAGAGGACCCAGAACTGATCCCTGTGGAACACCCCTGGTGACAAGCCTTCAGTCCAAAAACTTTTTTTGAACATTTTTAACAAATTCTTCGCTCTCCAAACATGTAACAAAATGTTAGTGCTCGTCAATGTTTGGAAAATTAAAATCACCTACTTTTACAATCTTATTATTCCTGCATATATCTGAGATCTCTCTATATATTTGTTCCTCTGTTTCCCTCTTACTACTGGGGGGCCAATAGTACAATCCCATCAAGGTGATCGTTGCTTTCTTCTTATTTCTAATTTCATCCCA